ATGGGTGTGCTTTTCGTCAGTTTCCGACACCGCATATGAAAAACTTGAAGGAACAGTCCTTGAATGCAACTCGTGCAAGTGTTGAATGAATTGACGGAAGATTGCTTCGCAAATTACTTCTGTAATGAAACAATAAATGAATTCGAGGTTACCAGAGAACACCTTGTAGTCAGTGAGTCATGATGACCGGAATCAGCTACGCTTAGCAAATACACTTGCATCTAGTTGCATGGAAGCTCTTTCGACAGTCAAAAGCAGAGCAAGGGGGAAAACATGGCAGTCTGTCCATTTTCGGTAATTCTGCCATACAACACATGCACACCTCGAGGCAGCTGGGGTTTCCTTTGTTAAATTGGGAAGTAGCTGCATATTTCCCTTCATTCCCTCTGGACTGACAACATAACTCCTGCGTACTCCTCATGCCAGCTTCCCCTCCCATGACCACACCCTTCAATACCGCATCATCTGGTGCTGCTAGTTTTCCCCAGTATGCCTTGTTGCCGTCCCATAGTAGTAGATAACTGACAAGAGTCATTTTTAGACTTTTCCAGTCAGCGCAAGGGTTCTGTATCGAAGGCGGCCGTGGACCTACTTTCAATGTTTACCCTTCTCCTGAAACATCTACCCCTTCACCTATCGCTCCTTCGACCTCAAACAGTGATCGAGTGCACGATCGAACTAGTGCATCCACTCCCTTTGTGGAGAGTGATATCTATGCCAGATTACTGCTTCCTCGTAGGCATGGATACCCATTACGGAAACCGAAAGCTCGAAATGCGCAACTACCAGAAGTTTACAAGAAGGTACATACTTGTCACCACTTGATTCTCGAGGTTTCTCGATGCAATGCGATGAACTCGAGGCAACATGATACGAATACCAACACGCAGGCCAAGGAATGAGGCTGTACTACTAGTGATGATGGCACTGGATTATCCGACATGAATCCCGCGTACGAAAGCTGTTCCGTCGTTTGAAAATTGAGAGACCGTGTATGATACTATTAACCACCAACACTAGTAGTCTAGTACCACATACTTGGTGTAAGAGTGACTTCAATGGATGTAACCTAGCTGTTACTGATAACACCGCCCCTCACCAGTGCACCGCTCATCACTGCCCTGTCTCTCCATCCAAAGCCCGTACCATATCAAAACCAATATTGAATATAGTACATAGTAAGCCGTCGTAACTTGTTTATCAGTACTTCGGGAGTCGTATGGTGGGTTCATACTTAGACTACACAGCAACTTGCACTGAGCTCAGAGCATTGAGCAACGACCGCTCAAAGGGCAAGCGCACAGCCACGAATGAATTAATGACAAAGTCTGAATAACAAGCCCGGAACGCCCGGGCGGGTAAAATGAACAAAAAGGGCGGAGGGCTTGTGTTTTGGACTCGGACGACGGACATCATCCTCATCATCATCATCCATCATCTTTTTTTTCCTTGAGAGGAAGAATCTACGCTTCACTTTGTACTACAGAGGTCTACGAAGGGGCCTACAATATCACTTTGGTGAGTGAGTGAAGTTTCTGTTCTTTTGGGTTTTTCGAAAAACGCGTTGGAGAAGGTTGGAGAATTGGACAAGTCACTCCTGGGTTCTTCGGTGGTAGTTGGTGAACGCACGTTCGTTCGTTCCCAAGTTTTTGCTCTGTTCATGTTGTTGTTGTTCTTGTTCAAAGCTATCTATCTATAACCCATCGGTGAAACGTCGAAACGCTGACGGTGCAACAGATCATCGATCACATCGAACGAACGAGAACGAAAAGGTCGAAACTGATCCATCGATTGGTAACGACGACACATCTATAAGAACGACCCTCCATCGATTGACACGTCTTTATTATCCACCTCACAAGTAAAGTGAGAAAAGAGTAGAAAGAAAGAAGAGAACCTGGATTTAGAACTCAAAGCACCCCGAGCGATCAAGGTGACGACCGAGGGAGGGAATTTGTTGGATTTGGATTTGGATTTTCAGCAGGATATGAATGCGAATGCGAATGTGCATCCTGGAGGAGGAGGAGGAGGAGGAGAGTATCATCCAGGTGGATTCCGGATACCACCACCTGGACCACCGCAGATACCACAGATACAGCAGATACAGCAGATGGCACCGCTGAACAGACAAGGCTCGTCTTCGTCCTATACGTTGCCGTATCCTTCCCAGAGTCCACCTCCACCACAGCAGCCGATGTCGATGCTCGCTGGCCTACATGATCAGGGTGGACGAGGAAGGAGAGCGGTGTCGCCTGCGCCGACTGTTTCTCAGTATCTGACCTATCCACCCAATCCGAGTCCATCGTCCGCGTCATCCCCGAACCTGTCTCCGAACCTAACCTCATCGTCTAATCCATCGACGACACCAGCGTACCCATGGATTCCACCTGCGTCTGATACCCTCACCGCGCCGTTGGCGACGATACCGAGCTTGCAGGCTGCGTTGGATAACGGGGTAGTGGGTAAGGGTGATGTGAGTGTGAAGGTGGCATGGGCGAGGGACGTGCTCGGGTTGGTGGATCGGGCGAGTGCGTTGGTGGAGGTTATGGGTGGAAATGAGTTGGGAGGAGGAGCGGTGGTCATCCAAGACGCGAGATTGTTGGAGTTGGCGAGGACAGCGATCCCGATGATCCTCGACATCGCCAAATCCCCCTCGAACCCTTCGACCGCGCCAGCGATCGCAGAAGCCACCTACCACCGCGCCACTCTCCTCGCCTCTGGCGCATTCCCCGAGTTTCTACAGAAAAACCCGCGTCAGGCGTTTCGGGATTTCGAGAGCGCAGCGAGGAGTGGGTATGGCAAGGCGTGGTTTAGGATCGGGAGGGACTATGAGGGATTCGGGGACGTGGTGCATGCGAGGGAGTGTTTTGGGCGGGGAGTGAGGGTGGGGGAGGTCGGGTGTTTGTATAGGATGGGCATGGCGGGCGTCTTGGGGCAGTTGAAGGCAAAGGATGGAGAGGTAGAGATGGAGGAAGGCTTGAAGTTGTTGAAGAGAGCAGCGGAATGTGCGACGGTGGAGACGCCTCAACCGCCATACGTCCTCGCACTCATCCTCCTCAACGAATTCACCCCACTCCAATCCCAATCCCACCCACTCAACGACAAACCGACGGTGGTCTCGCTCGCACTCAAACTGTCCCTCATCCCCCCCTCCCACTTCCACTCCCCACCCCAAGCCCAAGCGCACGCGCTCACGCTCGAAGCCAAACGACTCCTGCTCCTCTCGGCCTATCTGCATTTCTCCCCCGCCCAATACAAACTCGGACACGCGTACGAATTCGCCAGCGACGGATTCGAGTTTGACGCGCTGCGGAGCGTCGAGTGGTATTCGAGAGCGAGTCAGGGCGGGGAGGTCGAGGCGGATATGGCGCTCAGCAAGTGGTTCTTGTGTGGCAGTCGAGTGGGCGGGCAGCAGACGCCAGAAGGCACTGGGGGGTTTGAGAAGGATGAGCAGTTGGCGAGGATTTTTGCGGAAAAGGCGGCGAGGAGGGGGCTGGCGAGTGCAGAGTTTGCGATGGGGTATTATTGTGAGGTTGGGATTGGGGGTGAGGGGAGGAAGGAGGTGGATGAGGCCAGGGAGTGGTATAGAAAGGCCCACGCCCACGGTAACCCAGACGCCTCTGCCCGTCTCGCTGCCCTTGAATCGTCTACGCCGCAGATGTTGTCAAGGGAAGAACACGATCAGATCACTGAAAGCAGGCTGGTCAGGACACGGACCCAGGCCAAGCAGAGGAGTGAAGCTCAGATGGTGAAAGATGGCTATCTGGCTCAGCAGCAACAAGGGCAAGGGGGACGAGGGAGGAGAGATTCAAAGCAGGTTGTGGATCTGATTAGGAAGAACACCTTGCCTTCTTCTAGACAACAGTCTATACCACCCTATGCTCAACAGCCACCCCACGTACCACAACAAGCACCAGGTCCACAACAACCACCACGTCCACCACCACAAGGTCAACAACCACAAGCGTACCCAACAGCCAACAGATACACCCTCGTCGATCCTGGCTCTGCGTCTGCTTCTCCCAGGGCGGATTCCAGGTCGCCTTCCCTCGGTCCTCCTGCACCTGCCGGAAGACCACACCCGCCACGGAGAGGTCCCAGTGGAGGTCTCCCTATCTCCGGTGGCCTTGGTGTTCCAGGAGGAGGAGGAGGGTCAAACTCGAGACCTGGGTCGCCTGCGGTGCAAGCTGGTGCTGGGACATCGGGAGGAGGCACACCCGGAGCGCCGGGAGCTGGGACTGGTCAAGGTGCTGGTGCAGGTGCAGGTGCACAACCACCCAAACCCTCCGGTCCACAGACGTTTGCCGAGATGGGCATCACCGGGGCAAAGGCTGAGGATGAAAAGTGTGTGATTATGTAGGTCAAAGGAGGGGTGGACTTTTTTTTTTTCAAACTTTTCACGTTTGATTTTCTTTTCTCGACTCATTGTCGTGAACTTTTAAACTTTGATCATGACTATCTCAGTGCCATCGTACAATCTTTTCCACGACTTGCTCAATTCAAGTGCCTCTTGTCTCGTCTCGTTTCGGTTCTTCTTTGCGCTCTTGCTGATACCTAGTAACCCGACTTTTACTACTAATACTGACTTGCAAATCCATCTGACAACACTAGATTGGGTTTTTTCTTTGTTGCTTGTTTTAACTTATATACAGTACACACTCTCTCTTTCTTCGCTTCTTCCCTTCGCATCACTGCCAGTTCTTCGAGTTTCTTCAACAAGATCTAATTAGTAATAATGAAGTACTTGCGGTTTCGAAGGGAGCCCTTGAGAGGCTGAATCTCATCGAACTCTTCCAGTACACACTCTCTCATCCTGTCGTCTTTCAAAAGACTATCATCAATATGTATGTATATCAACGATGCATGAAGTAATTGACTGTACCCCAATCCTGAGTTATCGAGTACCCGAGTTGTGATTTTGAATCTGATCATGATTACTCAAGTACTCACTATCGATCCAGATGATCTATTGTAGACTCGATTCGCTCAAAGAAGTCACTGGCCGCCTGGCGAAATGGCATCGCGTCTGACTACGATCTTCCATAATGCTGGTACGAAATTGTAATCAGGAGATTGCAGGTTCGACCCCTGCGGTGGTCAATGGAAAACATATATCCAACCGGGTGGATATAGGATTTCTTTTTCTGATTTTGTCCCGAGTCTGATTCTGAACGGTGAACCGCTCTGAATACTGGCGATTTGAAGGTAAGAAGGAGATACTTGAAGTTGGTACAGTTTCACGTTCGGTCATAGTCAGAACGGTTCTAATTATAATCATCATTATTTCCTATGAGTTGTACTATATACAGATTATTCGTCAATACGGTTGCAGTCTCTACTAGAGCAAAGCATACAGTGAACGTATTTCGAGCTCGCGCAACAACGGTTCGATGATCCATACCCATACCCATACCCATCTCTATTTACATATCAAACACCAAACAACCCACCACGACCACAGTCCCCACCATGCACGCAAAACCTACCCCGAACCCTAATCCCTTCGCCGCCCTTTGAATAATACAGACCAACCTACACCAACCCAGCCCGGACCATCATCCTCTCGAAATCCTCCAGTCCCATCGTCTTATCCTGTCTATCCGAAAACACCTCCAGCATTTCTACCATCTAACACATCGAGTTAGTTCGGCGTGCGAGAGATTCGATAGATGCGGGATGAATGCAAGCGCAGTATGAAAGACGTGAAGCAAGAGGTGAGAGATAAAAGGAAAGGAAAGGAAAGGAGAGACACCAACATCCCTTGAACGAAAGGCGAGCAGCTTTGAGAAACACCCCCCCCCTCCCCTCCCCCCTTGAAAATCGAAAGACCGATAGTAAAGTAACATATCACGTACCTCCTCGACTTTGAGCTTCTCCCCAAGCACCTCCGCTACTCTCCGAATTTCTGCTATACCAAGTCGTCTTCGTTCAAGTTCGGGATGCAAACTGGCTCCTTGGGTTGGAGATGCACGGTCTACGAAGAATAAATTGAAGGCTTGTAGACAGATTGTTTTCTCGTTTGGTCCGAGGTGAGCTTGGTCGGGAATGGTTTTGCTTGGTTTCTTGGTTGGTTTGGTTGATTTGGTTGATTTGGTTGTTGATTTCGTCGTTCTTGTTCTCCTGACTTTGACGAATGAATCGTCATCATCGTCAACGAAAGAGTCGTCCGAATCTTCGTCTTCATCTGGATCGGAGTCGGAGGCGTATCTGGGTTTCGTTCGACCAAGGCGGGTACGAGTAGGAGCAGTTGTTGTTGTGGATCTAGGTGTGGAGTTGGTTTGGGTTTTGGTTTTGGATCTCGTCAACCTGGATGTTGTAGCTGGTTCGTAGTCACCATCATTATCGTCAGCCTCTTCAACTCCAACGTCCTCATCATCCTGTTCAGCATCGACGTCAATAACATCGACATCCATCTCCTCAAACCCTCCTCCTCCTCCTCCGGGTTCAAGCAAAATCGCACAAACCGCGCGCCAATCTGCGAGCGAGACTCCTATTTTGGAGTCCTCATCCTTCGCTGCAGCCTTGCCCTTGCCTTTACCCTCATCCCCATCCCCCCAACCACCCGCGGCGTTCCGAAACACGCTCAGAATGCGTTCGTCGTCCGGAGGCAAGCCCAAGTCTGCGAGTGCGGTCGGGATAGACAAAAGTCGGATGTAGGAGTAGGAACTTGAATGCGAGTCGAGGTTGGGTTGGGCTTGAGGTTGCTTGTTCTCAGTTTCCTCGGGGAGGAGCTCGGGATCGTCTATTATAAACCCTCCGCCGCCGCCTCCTCCTCCTTCGTCGTGCGCGGTTGTGTCTGGGAGTAAGAATCCACCACCACCACCAGTATCTGTCATCTCAGAGTTGGGATCTATATCCAGACCTTGGGCTTGGCCTCCGAGCTTTCTTCGCTTCGATGGTCGTTCGTCTGGATCCTCACGGCCGTTCAGAGAGCGTTCAGGATCTTCAGCACCTTCGACGCGTTTTCAACGCGTTTAACGCGTCCGAGTGAGCGAGTGGTATCATCAAGAGTATCAATAAGAGCAGCACCTAACGCAAACGCATGATCGATTCGCCGTTGGAGATCTTCCGGGAGCGCGAAGAATGCTTGGTCGTGATCGTGTTCGGTCTCGGCGTGGTTGTTGTTGGGGTTGTGGATGGGGTCCATGACCTTGAGGCTACAAAGCTTTGGAATAGACGTTGAGTACTGAGTTTGAAAGTTATCGAGAGCGAAGGTGGATATAGTGGACCGACCTGAGAGAATGGATGGATAGATAATATTAATAATATTGGGGAAAGCAGAGTGTAAGCGCCGAAAGCATTTCATTCGGACTCCGCTTGCAAGCTCGGCACTGAATCAAGCCGTGGCATGCGCCCACTAGTGCTCCAAGTTCGACGCAAGTACTATGCCATGACCATCTATCAAGTCATCGCACAGTCTATATCTGTGTTGGGTACTTATGTAGATGTGGAAAAGCTCAATAATCCTCGAAATCAACTCAAGGACTAGAAATTCGAGTGAAGAAACCAAGAAGCACTACGGCGGGTTGACGAGTTTTTACCAGACACTGTTTCACAAAGATCTCCGGTGCATCACTGTATGTCGTTCGCAGAGGCCTTAGAAAATCGGCTAGGATGGACATGTTTGCATCGATTAATCGTTTAGCAATTGTGTAGTATATTTTACAGGTATGACCATGAACTTGAACCTAATCGACAGTATTTCTTGCGGAATACGTGTCACTGTTCGATAGGAGGATCCAAAAGATATTCAAATGTTGCGAGCTGGCCTTAGGGGCAGAAGGTGATGGTGAACGCGATATTCCCAGCGCCGCAAGCACGAACGGGCAAGTCGCTACCGCAGCCAGATAAATCCTGTAGGAAAGTGTGAAGGAGATGAGCAAAAAAGGATCTGGGGTAAAAAGGAAAATTGACGTACGCCAGGTGGGTAAGCTTCGCTGCACTGGGAAACGAGAAGGAAAGAAGTCAGCAGGTTGATTCGAAAAGAGCGAGAGAGGTTGGGAAGGGAAGACGGGGAGGAAAGGGATCAAAGAGGAAGAGGAGGAAAAGAAAACCACATACACCACAGTTCACATTGGTGCAAGTCACTGTGTCGCAACCCGCGGCGGCGATTTCAATGGATTGAGTGAACCCTTGGATGTTGGAGATGTCATATGCTTGGGGAGTGTAGAAGTCGCCGGTGTCTAAGGTATAGACGAGAGAGGGAAAGGAAAGGTTAGAATAAGGATTATAGGAATGCGAGGTAATCAGCTGGATGCGTACCCAGGTTGAATTCGGTGATGGTGCAGTCTTCACCGCTAGCACCGCAAGCGCCGTTTTGGGCAAAGATACGACCGACCCACTGGACAACGTATAAGCATTTGAGTGATGATCCAATGAGGGAAGGAGGATATGCTGCGTACGTCGACGGGTATAGTGATCGTTTCACTCGCTCCGGCACCGAGGGTACCAGGCTGAGCGGCAGCTACAGGTGTTGATTCATTTCAGCAACAGAAGGCATTGTTTGGCGTCTTGCACTCACTGTAGTAACCAGCACCAGAGCAACCTGAAGACGAGTGGGAGGTGAGTAGATGGACAGGATGGGTTGTTTAACGATAGTGTACGCACGAGGACTATAACCACAAGCTGTGTTCGCAACTCTGGGGGTGATGGATGAACCACATTTGTTGACTAGCGTGAACTACGTAGAAATTCGGTTTGAGAACACGGATCCAGGACGGGAGAAGGAGATGACACGAAATCTCACCGCATGTTGGGCAGATACCAAGGTCGAGGCAGAGGCGAGAGCAGAGAGGAGGAGAGAGAGCTTCATTGTCGTGTAACAGGTACTACTGCGGATCGGATTGAGGAGATTGTTACTGACTGAGGTTTGGCAAAGAGTGGTGTGGTTTTTGTAAGTTCTGCAAACTTCGACAGAGCCGAAAAGAAGAGCTACTGAGAAAAGAAGGGGAGATCTGTTGCGACCCGTCTTTATACCGCTGGGGTGATTGAATGTTCTCCTTAGGAGCCCGTCCTACTGTTCGCATTGCCAGCAGACTACATAGATGTGGACACACGTTTCAAGCTGTTTCAAGAGGACTAATTTCCAACAAAACCTTGCACAATTCCAAATTCATTCCGAGAGCCTCCAGCCCCGCAGTTCAGTCGAGCAACGCGGAACAAAAGATCTTTCACCGCTTCAATCCAGTGGAAAGAGCTCTAGGAGTATAACAAATGAGAACGAATTAGAACACATGCTTCGGTCCTACCGTGCCATTCGGAAGACCCGTCGTAATGTAATTGCATTTTCAGCTGGATCTTACCCATTCAAGGTAACTCATGCTTCAGTAATGTGGTGAGGACAGGACAGTATGGACAATCAATTACTTACCGAGTCCAATGATGAGTGTGTTGTCTGATGTTTCTTGTAAGATCCCACTGACGGAACGGAGCGAAAGATTCTGCCTAATGTTGGCCGGTTTCGGAGATTGTGTGCCATCGTGTGTGCACCGAAGCTGGCTGAGCAAAGTCAGTGGCTGCTGAGTACCCCGAGTTGTAGGGACCTTAGATGCTGGATGTTATGGGATCAATCACCTTTGACAGCGGCGGTGTGGTGCTGAAGGATACCGGTAAAGTCTTAATATAATTCTCGCGGCGATTTCTTGACAATTTTGTGATGTAGTGTTATACACACCTGGTCTAGTAAGGTCTATTCGCGATGAGCCCGTGATCCTTTCGCAATCTGGGGCTCGTTGAGAATTGATGTGGTGTTTGATATATGGCCAAAGATCTCTATAAGAGCTTGAGACTTGAAAAGCTTTGGGTCTCGGGGAAAATGAAGTCGCATATGGAGAGTAAGGTGTGATACAAAAATGCGGCTGAGTCACATACCTGGGGGGTCCGATCGAAGGCGCTTGGGCGATCATCTGTGGCCCACTGCCGCCAACACTGAGGGTTTCTCCCAATTTACATAGCAGTTTGTGAGTTATCCAGGAGAAAATTAGATCTTGCTCTCCACCTGAGGCAATGGCATTGGACGATATCGGTCAACGACAGTCGAAAAGCTGCAGAAAGTGTTAGGTATGTATATGAGCATTCACAATGCTTGATTAGTCGTGGAA